TCTCTCTCGTACACTGGTCTAGAGTTGACTATGGTCTTGAGTTGTTCCTCGGGTTTCTGGCCAGCCTTTGAATCAGACTGTTAGTTCGATACCCACAGTAGAACCCTACGTAAATGAAATGCAAACCTTTTCTAAATACCCATCTAGTACAAATATTCGACAATGTCGAAGCGTGTATTTATACAGGATATTATTATAATAGTAGTTCCAACCACTATCTCATTAGTGACCACTCCGTACCTTGACACAACTAATCTTTAAAAGTGCTCAATGCAACCATAAATCCAAGTTCTCTAATACATTTCCTTACTCAAGTAATCACTTAATTATCTAATTAATAACCTTACAGGTTGAGTAGACACCTGGTTCTTGGGAAATCTTGCGTCTCGTATATTTTTTTTCGCCTTGCGTATCGATCGGGGTTTATCTTCACCGATATACTAACTTCTCTTCATAAAATCCTTCGGCGCAACTGGCTGGATACTGGCAGTTTCAGTCTCAATTTCAGCGAAACCATCGCAGCTGGCAAGACGCGCCCTTTCCTCGGACTCTCCGACGCAAGTCCCCGTTACACCCGGAAAATTTTCTAAAACCCGCCAAAATTTCTACCTACGACACCCTCAATCCTTTTGTTGTATGACCCTGGAGACCTAACAAGAAAGGACTTACTAAAGCAAGAAACGAGCTATCCACTGGCGTTTGTCTGTTCTTCCTCTAAAACTATCTAATTTAAATAAAAATACTACACTGAAACACTGGCCAAATAAAATCAACAATTTATTTCTTTCAACGCACACTCATGTTAACTTTAATAGAATATCTTTGGCTCCCATGCGTAAATAAAATAAGAGTTATTTCTCTTGATCAAATTAATCCCACTTCGTAACAACACCCAATAATTGTAACCTGAGGCCAACCCGGAACACGTGCCCTCTTTAGGGCAGGCATCACCTGATTTCGTACGGGAAGGTATCTCATTACTGAATCGCAATGTAGAAGGTCTCACTAAAGCCAGGATCAACATCCTTGAACATCTCCTTCAGACACACAAGGTCTCAGCAGTTCTCCTACAAGAGACGCATGTCTCTGATATCTCTTGTCATAAGATTCTTGGCTTCACTTTGGCTGCCCATACGACGAGCGATGTCCATGGGATTGCTACATTTGTTAGGAATTTCATCAGATGGCATGCCCTAGCCTTCAGCCCTCCACATTCCCCTGTGTAGTGGTCAGCAACTCATGTTGAAGGTATTAGCATTATTAACATCTATAACCTTCATTCATTTCGACTGCAGGATAAACCCTGCACCCTGCACCTATGCTGGTGATTTAAATTGCCATAGTGTCACATAGGGTTTACAGGGCAACAAACTCAGATTGCACCGCACTAGAGGACTGGGCATCCCTAGCTGGTCCCCAAGCAGGCCGGTACTGAGCTGCCACTCAGGCAGGTAGAATACGAGTACAAGTCACAACCTTGCTTTCACCAAAATGAGAGGACACTGTGTGATCCTGAATTCTTTCCCCAAATCTCAAAACAGGCCATCTCTCATCATTCCAGAGAATCCCATAGAATCAGTCCCCACTTAGCGTGTGAAACGGTGGAATATGCGTAAAGCTGATTGGGAGAGGTTTCAAACCTAGCCGACACTGACCTACATCATCTCCCCACACCGGCTCAGCACGACATCGACCAAGCCTACTTAAAGTTCTGCAACCTCCTTATTAGAGCAGCTAAGAATTTGATCCCAAGTCGCTTTCACCAATGTTACATCCCTACTTGTGATCAGGAATGTGATACCATCTCTGACGAGTTTCTTGAACGCTGATTCTGGGGAAGAGTCATCGTCAAAAGCCTCTGAACTACCAGTTGCCTCGATATGAACCACCTGGAGCGATGGAAGGAAACAGTTCATAGAATAGACTTTACACACTCCAGTAGGACTGCTAGGAAAACTCTCAACCCCCTTCATTGTTAGAAGTTCCAAACTGAAGATGTATCCTGTGACAGCTAATTCCATTGCTTAGCAACTCGAATGGCCACTTCAAGAATCGCAACAAGAACCACTCTCATTCTGTGGAACAAGAAACTACAAACTTGTGGCAAGCTCCAGGCGTAGATGGATGGTTATCTGGCCCCATCTCGCTCGACGTGTTAACTGCGGCAAAGGCCCAACTCAAGAGTGGCAAGGCTCAGGGTCCTGACAACATTCTTCCAAAATTCTTGGGATGAGATGTCGACTAATGGCATGTGGAATTCTACTACTACTGCCTCACCAATTAATCTATCCCAAAGATATGGCAGAAAGCTACAGTCATCTCGCTACCTTCACCACATAAACTAGCTGATGGCCCAAAGAGCTACAGACCAATTACTCTTCTATGTGTACCCCACAAACGTCTGGTGCACTTACTCCTCACCAGGCTGGAACCAGTCGTCGACCCGAAACTACCAAACGAGCAAGCAGGTTTTCGCCATGGCTGAGGTACGGTAAACCAGATCATCAATCGAAGACAGCTTTGAGCTGGGACACAAAGCTGGCGCTATCCTAGTCGACCTCACTGCATCCTATGACACCGTGTGGCACCAGGGCTTGACCCTGAAGCTCCAACGTAAGGTACCAGATTGTCAAGTGGTACAGTTTATCAGCAACATCCTTGCCAATCGTAGCTTTGTGATGAGGACCAGCGACGGACAGACCATCAGAAAGGGGTCCAACAAGATTCGGTGCTTTCCCCCATGCTTTTGAGTATATACATCAGTGATATTCCACAGACGGTCTCCCGACACGATCTTGCACTTCTGTATGCCGACCGAAGCTGGTCAAATGTAGAGAGCACTCTTACTGCAGACTTGGCACAACTTCCTTCGTACTTCAAGACCTGGAGGCTGAAACTGAACATGGCCTAAACTACTGTCACAGCATTCCACCGGAACAACAGGGAAACCAACCGTCAGCTCACTAACAATATCGATGGTACACCTCTCACGTATAATGAAACTTCGACCTACCTCACAGTGAAGCTGGACCGTCGGCTGACATATAAGCAACATCTAGAGTCCCTGTCAGCAAATGTGACCACTCGGATTAACCTTCTCGTCGTATAGCTGGCTCAACGTGGTTTGCCAGAACTGCTACCATAGAACCAGTGCCCTAGCCTGTCACTTGTCTCGGTGCTGCAGAGCATGCTTCTCCTGTTTGGTGTAAGAGCTATCACACCCTGAGCCTTGGCACAGCCTTAAACAGTGCTTTGAGACTAATCACAGGCTCTCTTCGTCCCACAACAACAAAATAGGCATTTCCCCAGCGCACCTGCAAAGAGTACGACAATCTTATAGGATGGTTACAAAGGCAGCCAGTGACTCTAGCCACCTCCTCAGTAGCATTTAGGGAGTCTAGGTTACCCCTCAACGCTTGAAGTTCAGGAGACCATTCTCTCGCCATGCAGCGAAACTGAGAGACTTGGACTTCAGCCTCCTGCAGTCCTGGGACGAAAGCTGGGAGGAAACTACACATCTAGTACATTTCACAGTACGCCCAAAGACGATTCTCTCACCGGGCTCAAACCTTCCTCGCAGGGAGTGGGTATCGCTTAACTGGATTCGGACTGGTGTGGGTCATTTCAACTCAGCCATCCACCAGTGGGGCCTACGCTCATCAGCTGCCCTTTCAGTGTGGTGCACCAGAACAGACAGCTCAACACATCCTGTTAGAGTGCCCTGAACTTCGAGACCCTTTCAAACACAACCTGATACGAAAAGAATTTTAATTTTATTCACTCCTTTAAAAAAATCTAGCTCTGCCCTTTACATGGTTAATATTCCCAACCGATCCATCCGTCAGATATATTTTTACTTCATTTCAAGCTAACTTTCCACTTTCGGGTATAGTTATATTTCCCACATTTGAGACAAGCTTCTAAAATATTCACCAACATTTTAGGCCGCGCCCACAAAATGGAGCAAAACAGACTTACATTTATCAAATGTTTAATTTCATATGTCCATTAATTTTAAGCATGAAAATTGAAGAGCAATTGATGTAATTACAATTTTCCCGGCGTTTCATTTTTTTACACCCCCTTTTTTAAAAAATCAGTATCAGCCCCCAAAATAGACAAGATCTGATATTGGTCAACATCTTAAAATGACTTTTAGCCAGTTTGGAGCCATATGCATTTTGCCAAATTTCATGCTTTTATCACAAAATGCACATTTTTTTACTAAGCAGCTCCACTATATATGGATGTTTCTTAATTGGTGTGAAAAGAGATTTAAAGCAGAGCAAGGTTACACTCCTTGTCACTCAATCAAGGGCGCCCTCAACTATACTTTGAAGTGGCACTGGAAAAATCTGTGGACAGGTAGGCTGTTTGAACTTCATAGCCTGTTGTGGCTTCAATGGCCATTAACTAAATTTTAGTTGTTTTAACATGCGCATGCGCAGTACGGTCAATAGAAGACAGCTTTATGTTTTATGTGGATCGGGAACGTGATCGGTGTTTCGAAGTTGGTTCAATGACGCCAGAACTCGAAACAGCTTTGGGATCACTAATCGAGAAACAAACCACGCTTATAGTGGACGTTTTTGTTGCACTGTTGGAAATACATGGGGAAAAGATCCCATTACAAATTGCCAACCTGTCTGTTTCATCCAAGAGAATAATTAGGTCTACTTCACTGTTCAAAAGATTCGGAACAGACCTCATATTTTTTCGGATTTTTAAAAAGCTTTCAAAGATCCCAACCAGAGAATTTTTTTTTTAGTTTAGCTGGAAACACTTTAAAAAATCGAAAATGTGTCTTTCTCCATTTAAAATATTTTTTTACTACCGTGCGCAGTTCCAACGTTCCAATCTCCCCAAGAAAAGGTGGTGGTGCAGGCGTTTTGATGTTTTCGACACTCACTTGCTAAAACCAACAAATCAGTAAACCTAACGTAGAAGTCGCCACTATCTAAAAGCGCACGGGCTACCTTTTTAATACACATGTAGCAACCGCTTTTAAAACAACACACTTTGCATCAGTAATGTCTTGATCTATTTTTACTCAGCTGCATAATACAAGAATACACTACAATCACAAGAAATAATTGTCGGTAAAACTTTTGCAGAAGGCACCAGCAACTTGGACTGTCGTAAGCAAACGCACACGGTATAGTATTTGAGATTTCAGTTATGTAATCCAAAACTTCCCATTTGCGATACCTAACTACTAGTTCATTCTTATCTATCCACATAAATAAATTGTTTAGGAAAATGTTCAACCAATTTAAAGGTAATCAATTCTTTACTACATGGGATTGAATAAGAAATAACCCTAACATTAGAGCAACTGATCCACTTACTTTCAAAACTTTTCTAACTATATTAAAGTCCTTTGAATTGGCAGAGTTAATCAAGCTCCGATGCTACATTATACTACGAATGAAGAGTTACATATGCAATACTTTTATAATATCAATGGGCCAGTTTTGGTGTTTCAAAATGCCAGGGTCTTTTAGGATGTGCACACGTGAGTCAGCGTATAGATACGCTGATAGGACAAACTATTGCGCGTAGCTTTTCCCGAATAGCCTTATACTGAGCATGCGCTGTTGGAATACCGAACTGGCTCATGTTGTCCAATCAAAAGGCAATTCACTATGCCCTCCAATTGTCTTGTTCCAATGTTGCACAGAAGTTTACATGTGGATTAAAGTCGAGAATACAAAAGGGGGAAATATCTCATCTTACGTTTAAGGTTTTAGAATGTGATTCCTGCAATTTCTCATCATATATCTCTCCAGAGGTAGATCGGAAAGTTGGGGAAGCGTGCAATCATTTTCTTGCCGATTGCAGTTTCTATAGAATCACTGATACTGAATTAGCACTCGACAACGTACAATGCAACATTGTGCTACAACGTTAACACTTTCACATTAATTTGCAACAAGCGATTACTGATTTGCAACAGTTTCACAGTGACAATACGTGCGATGCAAAGTGGGCAAAATCTACTGGGTCTACTCTTGTGACGTCGCAGTCGTGTTTGTCCTAAAAGTGGCTGCTAAAACTATACTGAACGTCGGTACAAAAGTGACAAAATAATTCACAGAGTGTTAAACCCCAGCTATCAGAACACTAGATAATGCTAGATAATAATACACGTACTACAAAATACCAAATGGAAATACAACCCTCTTTAAAGTTAATGGGACAATAACGATTTTGAACGAGTCTGAAGCAAAATCGAAAGCCAACCAAAAGGTGATAAGTCTGTAAACTCTGGCCGCCCGTACAAGTTGTAGGCAAAATGAAAGTGTTTTTTAAAGCATTTCTACTGCGTTGGTTCATTCAGGCACTATAGCAGACGATAAACTATACGGGAAATTTATAGGCAGTGAAAACAGCAGTAGTGTTATTCTACAATGCTATATTTCAGTTGCTACTTTCCATTGAAAATGGAATAATTTTAACATAAATATACAACATTATTTTACTCAAGGTTTCTCAAATTGTCAGTTGATTAAGATTAATTCCTTTAGATAAGTCACCTCCATCAGTTGTGTGAAATGTCTTCCAGAGGTAGGCTGATGACTCTACTATACCACTATCTTTGCGCGCAAAGGATGTCGATTGGTTGGATTCTTTTAATGGGGCTACGCTGGATGACTTGGTGGCCCGCCCAAGTATTTTCCAGTTTACCCTGCGACGTTTGAAGGCGTCTTGGACCTGAGAGATTGCAACAATCACAGAAATCATAATTCCTAAGGTTCCAAATTAATACAAGCCAAGCATAAATGAAGTATAGCGACCAAGGACGAACTATTTGAAACCTGTTTGCGAGATTTTTAAAGTTTTAATTGGCACTCCTCATTCAATTTCGCCGGAAATGGGAAAAAACTACGACCTGTATTCAGTATATTTTTAGCACAGCCATATCTGCTGTATAAATATTTTGTGGGAAAATACCTTTTTCACTGCTGCCCATCAAGTTACACCAAAAATACCACGGGTACTATTTTCTTTTCCCTTTTTTAACAACGCTCACAGATCCACTGCAATTACTGGTTACAACAAAAGCTATGATGCAATCAGCCAGTTTCTCAAAATCACTTTCGTATTGCATTCAAATTGTAATGTGCTACTTGTTGGAAGATACCTCACAATTATATTGCCTTTTGAAAATTAAATTTGATGGCGCTCCAAGGCAGATGTTAAAAAATAATCATTTGAATAGCGATTAAACAATTATGTGTGCAACCAACCTCGAAGTTGAAAACACAGTAAAACAGAAGGAGAAGCACCCCCTGAAGCGAGTTGAGAATCGTGAAGAGATATTGGAATATTATAAGTCCTGATGAGAGGGATAACACACCAAATACCCAAGTCAACCCCAGCACTGGCTGCAGCATCAAGGTAGCTTTGGCTACTTGTCTGGGGATGAGAATAAAGCACTCTCATTAAGCTGCATATGTTTTTATCCGGTATGCTGTAACAGCCCAAGGTAATAAACTGTGTAACAGTACAGAGATTTGGCACTAAGATGTGTCGATAATACAACTCCAAATGGCGAAGGCGTCTCTGCCGATGAAGTGCACAACAGCGCCCTCTCGTCATTTAGCTACAGTACGGGTGACGCACAACAGTGGGCCTCCAAGAGTTTGCAACGCGTTGGCCAATCTCAACGCACAATATCTATCTACCCTTTCTAAACACGCTTTGGGTCGACAGATTTCGTGCATTGTGATTGGCCAACGCGTTGCAAACTCTTGGAGGCGCACTATTGTGAAACACCCGTATTGAACACCAAGTGGGCAAAGCGTCCCTGCCACGGAAGCGCACAACTTGCGTGTTGAATTTAAGCTTGCTGAATTGAACTTGTTGAAGGGCAGGTTGAATTTGTTCCTTGATAAGTGGGGATATGAGATGTTAAGGAAGTTTCATTGTTTAATTTCACAAGAAAGCTGTAATTAATTTGGGGGAGGAATTCGAATTTATATCGCTTGAACTATTGGGCAGAGTCAATCATCTGTATTAAGTCATTTTAACCTTAACTTGATGTTTGTGAAGTACTGTTGTGAGGGTACAATTTTAATATAATAAACTAACTGAAAATATAGAAGATTTTGGAGACCTCATTTTATTTGCTTTGGTCATTGAAAACTTTTAGAGACAGCTAACTGGTTCTGGCAGAAGCGGGGGGGCTAGCATTTGACGTCACCTTTCAACTTTAGCTACTGCAAATCCAATATTTTCCAGTTTTAAAATGAAATTGTGAATTACCAATGTGATTGATTTTTCATTACCACCACGTACATCAGTGTAAGTTACATACGGTAGAAGATTTGCTCTAAATTCCATCTGAATGGGCACAACGGCAGCTTTCGAATTGATTTACCAGACACAGATATATTGAAAGTGAAACCGTGCGAATAGTCTATTCTAATGGTATTAAAAAAGACGTACTTTGCCTGTTTAAGTCTACTTGTTGCATGCACAGCGGAGAGTTTGAAAATCACTAAGACAACACGTATAAGGATGCAGGAGTTGATTGCTACAACAGCCAGCATAGGTGCTACAAATATCCAAATGGAGTTATCGGACGACTGCAACCAGCACCTTGGAAGGAGAACGTTGGGAGTTAGAGAGAGGGACACTTTGGAAATTATGGTAAAATGTCTCGTTCAAAATGTATACTCTGTATATATTTCAAGAAGTAATTGTCATTACAGATTAAAGATAATGTGCACAAATTTAATACGTGTGGAAAATCATCTGTGATCATATTCAACTACAGTTGATTCAACAATTGCCCTTCTTAATTATTTGCAAGCCAGAAAAAAAGTTTTCATGCACCAGCAGCTATAATTGGACACAACAAATTGAGGAAAAGTTACATCCTCTTTGCTGAAACAGAGTATTAAAAACTGCAACATCCATCATTACAGTGCAGTGAAATCAGCCCCATAATATTTTCTACTGCAGTCAGTAACTTACGTGTTCGATTTGCGAATGCTATCTGAGAATACGCCTAGTGTGACCGCTGCCAGAATGACTGGAACACCTAGAAAATAAATAATGAATAATAGATGGGAAACTACGAGTTACGAACGCAGCTATTGGGCACAATTGTATTTGTCAAACATCAAGTAGTCAATTTATTTATGTCTGAAGTCAGAGGGAAAAACAGCATGGTTCACGAATTTGAACATGTATTTGTCATTAGCTACTTGCTGAAATATCATTTAATGACATCATTATGATGTCATTTCAGAGGACACATGTTAACGGCAAGTCCAGTGAAGTTGTGGTGTTTGGTGGGCAAATTGATTTTATTCAAGGTCGAAACTGATCCGTTGCAGAAATCGAGACACCGTGGCCATTCAGACCCAGTTTAAAAAGGACCCCTGCGGTACCTGGGCTGTTTTAGTTCCACCAAGTATTCCGCTAGCTAACCCGGTACTATAGTATAGACCTGTACGATCCTGATCTTTGAAGTCTTTCAGGCAATCAATATGCTAGAAAAGACACCCCCCCCCAAAAAATGGTTATGGATCTGCCAAGGCTTCAGACGCAGGCTTCGTGTATCAATCTCAGCTCGTTATTGGCTAGTGAGAACCATGTACATGTACATGTGTGTGTGATTACCAGGTCAAATAAACTCTGAAAAAAGATGATAATAAATATGTTCTCTTCTCAGCATCGATATATGATTGGTTAAGTCTATCACATGCAGTAACTTTTCAGAACTCACCCCAGGCGACAATCATGTACAACCTGAGCTTGCTTCTCTCGATATTAAACACCACCAAAACGTGTAGGTAGAGGTGAATACCTTCAACCAACATCCAGAAGAAACTAGCCATGTTGGTGTAGTAGATCATCATGGCAACCGCTATACATGCATCCTGGTAACAAACGCAAAGTCCCATTCCATTGTATATTTATCATGGCTATCTGCTTGTTTGATGCAGCAAGCAAGTGGCTGGTACTGCGAAAAACCTCTTCCCTCGTCTGCTTCCACTCACTACACAGACCAGTTCACTAATAAATTCTAACGTGTGCGCATGCGCACGTGCAAGTGGAGGCAAAAAGCTTGAGCGGTCCATTGAAAATGTACAGGGGCACAAATTTCAACGTCATTTTCTCTCAGTTTCTGCACATTTTGCCTTTCGTCTTCGAAAAAACTCTAAACATTATCATTTCTGTTACTTTCTGCTGTAATACATTTTACATTGCACTAAAAAAAGTCTTTGCTTTCTCCCCAAGCGCACGAGGTCGAAAGAAATTTACAGGGCTCTTCTCCGACCATGTCCCATTAGATAGTTTTGTACTTCAGGGTATTATGCACCACTCATACTATGCTGAATTGACTGGTTTCTGACTGGTTTAGGTTTGTTTGCCACTTAGTAACGTCGTCGGCCGAGAATGGTGGATTGTACCCTCACGTATCGCACAGTTTGTTTTGCCAAGCCTGTAGGCTTTTACGAAGCGACCTCGTGCGCTTCGAACGAACGAAATTTTTCAAGTTTTTATTTGTTCTCTAAAAGTTCCTCTCATTCCAGAATGTAATAGCTATAATGATTTTAGAGGGTTTTCCGAGGACGAAAGTGAAAAAACGTGAAGAATCTGAGAGAAAATAACGTTGAAGTTTGTGTCCCTCCACATTTTCAACTGGGCGCTCAAGCATCTCGTCTCCACTTTCCATTTATGCGCATTCGCACGTAATTTTATTAAGCACGTGAATTTATTAACTGGTCTACAGATCCAGCATTTAAAGTACCTGTCCAACCACTGCATGTAGGCTACGCAATATATAGGTGCTAACATTTCTATGGACAAGCCTCATATTTGGTCTAGTAATTGACTTATTCTATCCACGTGGTAACATGATCAAAGTTAATTCATCAGTGAACTTAACACCTTCACAACTGGGGACACAGTTTACTGGGTGAGCATTCCAAGGGTTAAGAGACAGTACCTGTTGACTGGATATTCTTGACCGAGTTGTTGGGACCAAAATTTGTTCCCATAGAGGTTTAAGTCCCACAAAATACAGGAAGGTGAAAGGATGAGTGTACGTCCACACGACTACAGTACACAAAGTTTGTACTGTTTCCAATTCGCTCCCATTTGAACCAGAACAGCTTTCCTATGTTGATGTTTCAGTCGAGACCACTTAAGACCTTCACAAGACAACACAAGACCTCCAGTCAAGACGCAAGCAACGAAAAGCATTGCTTTGACATTGTTCAACCTGTCAGTTGTGAGTAGTCTTGTGCATGGTCTTGTATCTGGTCTTGTAATAGTCTTGTGATGGTCTCGACTACAACACTGCTGATATTTCGACCGAATGTCCCTCATGCATGTAAAATACTTCAATTTGCGACTGAAAGGTATACCAGGGAAATTCCTCCTTTCTCAATAAATCTAAAAATTTATTGCGTGAAATTCTTGTAGGGGGCAACGAATGTTCCTCGTGGTGTTCTTCTGGTATCCCCAAAGGCACCATAAACACGGAAGTATGTGTGCATGCATACACCGTTAACCCCCAGAGTCGCTCCGCACGCAAGAAGGATGAGTACCAAGGGATAGGAGGCGAACAACGCGTATTTTGGGGGGGGACTTTTGCATGTACCGGCAGTACCCGCTACATTAATTTTATCTAACGAAAACTATGCGGTGGCTCTACCAGGCACGAAAAAGGAGAGAGGGGTACCCCCAACAAGTCCAATCCCTATACACATTCCAGACTACTGTCACTTAACACATCCCCCTAGATGTCTGAAAAGAATTTCTGAGATACCAGTATAACAATGGCCAATACAAAGGCTTGGGGGTTCTCTCTATTCCCTATGCTTTACATGACGGCGGCCCCCACTTGTTTACATTTGTTGTCCATTCAAACGAAGTGTACCCCACTGATGGAACAACTAACATGTTGCATATTGCCTGAAGTCTATTGGTGGCTGCCCCCCCCCCCATAAAATGGTAGCTACAAGACAATGGTGCCAACATATTCACTTGTAGTACAAAAGTACTTTTGCATCACTTATCCATTTCCTTCCTCAATGCTTGCAAAAACCCAGCTTCCGTACAATCCAGCTTCCGCACGTTAACAGATGTGTATGCGATTATCATGCGTTAGGCAGGCAATTGCTGATGAATTGGAGGTGCTGCATGCTAAAGGAGGGTTAACGGCAGTGGCCGCTCCCTCGCCCAGGAGCAAGTAAACAGCCGTGGACATGGCCACCCTGTTTGTTCTATTGTACCATGTAATCGTCAGGTTTCACCTTTGTAGCTATTTCTCATTTTGCATTTGACTGTAAAATTTTTTCATTGCTCAAATCAATATGTATTGATGAGTATCGAGTATTGCTTGTGTACAAGCAACGTTTATGGTGTCAAAATAAAGTCGTTTTCTGCAACTGTTTGCAGTTATTCAAAAGCACATCTAACCAACCGCTGAGTGATGAAACATATGGAGCGTTTCCCTCATTTCTAAAGAATAAATGAAATTTTCACTCCGACAGGAATGTTCTATCCTTATTACCAAACCATAAACTTTTATGGAAAATCCACTTACACTGTGCTTAGCAGGGACGTCTAAGAATAGAAACGTGATGCGAGCCAGGCCAACAGCAATGGCTAGGTTGATGTGGACCAACACACGTTCTGTCTTTATGCTGGCATAGATAAAACATGCAAACTGTCACATTTTTTTAAGTGTATATTTTGACACACGTTTGACAAGCATTGACAAGTACTGATTCTTTTCGACTGACACGTTTTCAGCTTTCATTTTGAGAGAATGAAAGAAGAATGCTCCAAAAACCTGTTCCTTTAAAATACGAACTCACTCTGGTAAATTATACCAGTTGTTATAAAACTTACCTTTATGTGGATTGTTTGACTACAAAGAGCATGGATTAAGCTCTGAAGCCTCCTTATTATTGTTTACCTTAGTAAGATCTGAAAGATTCTGAGCTTACTTCAAGAAAATAAATGTGGTGACCAACATGATAACACTAGTTATTGACAAACTGCAGCCGATATAGGATGTAATCTCCAATGCCCTCTGATCATGCTCAGATATCTGAAGAAACAAAGGAACAAACAAAATTAAAACACTGAAAAATCAGGCAAAAGAACAAAGCAATTGCGTTTATTAAAGCGTTAGCTTAGCCCGCCAGAGCTAGAGTTTAAAACCATCAAGACCACTGTTGACAGATCTGCATAATATTTGCATTATGCGTTTCATTCACATCACCCATTGGTGAGTTCTGATACCAGTCCCCCGAACCCTTTGACTCAAAGCAGATGATAGAAAACTATCTGAACCTGTCTATAAAGCAAGACACGAAATCTGACGTAACCACTGGCATTTATTTTCGTTTGCGTAACACTGACCTTATTACAGGGGTATATGTCAGACATTCATGACGCACTGACCTCAATGTCCATGACTTGCATAAGGACAGCAAAACTGGTTAGATGAGTGCAGGAGCATGTGGTGTAGGCAGGGGTGACTGTGGTGAAATTACATCTCTTGGAGGACCAACTACCTCTGGGCGAATCCCTGCCGTAACATTTAAGCAATTTAAAGCAACAATCCATCCCACCCATCAAAGTAATGCCAATACAGGATCACAGTCGAGAATCCCCAAGACTCCACGGGACAACACGCGAACACATCAAGTCTGAGTTCAAATCACAAGCAACTGATATGTTTATTTTTCATTATCCACCCAGCTTATTGAGTATGTGACTGACTGTGATGTGAGTGGTCTTGTGCCTGACCTTGTGTCTGGTCTTGACTACAACGTTGTCGTGAATTCATCGTAAGTAAACTCATGTACAATATGAGTTACTGTCCACCCACAAACGAAACAGTGCAAAACCATACGGCACGTTGTGTGCTGACGTGAACTCAAACCTAATTGTATCGAGGCACGTCACAAACCCCAACTTGCCTCCCTAAATTATGGGAGTGAACGGAGGTATCTGCAAGAGCAGAGATGGTTAACGTGCTCGATTAGCCGTGTTCGCCTGAAATAGTTGAATCGACCTCTATACTCCCCGAGATCTGGCATTTTTCCCCAGTAACGTGTCCCTAATGAGCAGACGCTATAATGACATAAGTGCACCAAGTCATGATGCACATTTTAGGAAATGCCCCATTGATAGAACAGTATAATGTCTTGGCAACAATTACCGAATACAAACATTAACTAGCCGATTATAGACAAACGTGCAAAAGGCTTTGACTTACGTTGTGTCCCAGTAAACACATACAGCTGTGTCCAAATCCACAACTTTGTTGGGTCTTTCAGCATTTACCTGAAATAGTTCAAATGAGTGAAAAGATCAAGGCCTCACAAAATGCCAATCTGGAAACTCTGTTGATAAACCTCAGCCCACCACCGATCTGTATTAAGCCAAGATTGGCAAAATATTCCAGGTTTTCTCTCCTTTTCTCTCCACCACAGCCTACCGCACTGCCTCTAGGAATCAACCTGTTGAATTATACTCATATTAGAAGTTAGAATAATCAGGTTATCGGAGTACTCTACACTTTTGTTATAAATACCAAATTAGAACTAAACAAACAGAAAAGGGCTATTAATTACTAAATGAAAAACAATTACAAATACCTCTTTAATGTTGGTCTCAAAATTCATGGAGACCGGGTAGTTTGTGAAGACGCTCTCATCTGGTCGAGGTACAATTGAGACACTGAGGACTCTACTCAAGACTGCAATCTCTGCTAAAGAATTGCTGCTATCACACAAAGAAAAGTATGATAACTTGTTTTCCATTTTCACAAAAAGATGGATTTAACGGCAATAACAGCAAAGTCAGCTCAACAAAAAAACTGACACATATTTTCATCCTGACAGCATCAGACCAATTTAAACCGAACCTACTCACATTAACAAAGTGAGATATAATTTAAATGCAAATAGCACCGTATTCTACACGATAATGCTCTTTTAAAATCGATCAGGGCTACTCCTCTAATTTCCCTTTAATTAGTAAATATATATCACCTATCAGTTTGGGGAAACATCATTTTCACATCTGCAGTGGATGAATTTCCAATAACACGGTGCAGGTTGCGGTACAGGACGAACACGACTGCAGAGTTCGGGTGATCTTGAAATAGCTCCACTGGTATGACAGCTTCGGTTGCAACATCCTTACTAAACTGCTGGTCTCTCTCCGGGAGCGTCAACTGCGATGAACTCCCTTTCCTGTCCCACCTCTTGATTCCTGTGGCTGGAAAAATGAACAAAGGTCGTGGAGACATGGACATTTTGATTGTGGCTTGGCATTATTCAGGTGGCGTCTAAAATCTTTCACGGTCACGTGTCTTGTGGCACGACCCCGCTCTTCTCCCAAAATCCCGCTTTTTGTTAATTCGGTTATATTTAGTACCGGCTGCCCAATGAGAAACAACCCTTACACACAAATTGTTAAGTGATCCATTACATATTAAATAAACTTGATATTATTTTGTTCTTATTAGGAACGATTGACATAAACAGTCCATAATGGAACCAATGATTTGCTTTTTTCCATAAATACATGTCATAATTTTCATAACACAAATAATTAATGAAGGAAAGACGCAAAGGAAAGATTTTAAAGAATTTTTTAGCAGGACACAGGTATGTCACTTGTCAATACAAAATGACAATGAAGTCAGACTTTTGAAGATTTGGGAATGAGATATTCAGCATTTTTGCATTATGCAGAACAAACGCAATCGTGATGGTACATAACGTGAAGATAATGATCTCTGTAGTAGACATATCACTTGCAAACTGTAATCATAACAGGAGAAGTATTTCTGCTTTTGGAAAATGGCATTTTAAAATCACTGGCGGCATTATAGGCAAAGAACAGTTTAGAGCTAATAAAAAAAATTGCGTAACAGCAGGTTTTGAAGATGTTTGATCCAACAAATAATGACAACCGGTAAATACTACGAACGGTGTCGGTAATTGAAAATTGTCTTACTCTCAGCTCATTTTGCAGTGACAGGTCATATCTATGTGCTCAAGGGCAAAGTGCTCAGGGTTGCAATGATTTCAGCCACAGTGGTGATGAAGATGATTATCGTCATGCTGATGACAAGGTAGACGATGGTAGAATGATACTCACAGGAGCAAACCGGGCACAGTTGTTTATGTTAACAGGCATTCTCTTGAACTTTTGAAACTGGTTCTTTTAAGAACCACACAATTCACAAAAGAGATAATCGTCGACTGCGTTACCGCAATTCATCCATACTTAAAAATTGTCTTGCACAAGCAAAAGGCTTCACATGCACTTTAATTTTACAACTCCCTCTCCTCATTAGGTGAGGGACGATCCTAAATTCTGATATATCACTGTGATCAGACAACGCGAAAAACAATTGTAGCGGCCTGTAGTTACGTCAGCGCCCTGATGGGGTGAGAGCTAATTAATTATGCAGCCCGCAGGCCAGCTTGTGCCTTGCGCGGACAGATCGAGCCTCAACATCCACTGCAACAAATAGTCCATCGGAGTCCACATTTCATTCCTTCAGTTAGGTTATATTTCTTTATTAATCTTGGAGTGTATATTACTAAGGACACTGTTTCGTTGATAACATGCTGATTCTAATGTATGCAATGGTTGAGGTTAATTACACAGTGCATTTTTAAGAAGTGCGGAGCAGTATATTCAGCCACGGCTTTGTGGCTGTGCCTGTGGGCGTTAGGCGTTCTCGAATTTTCTAGAGTACGGTCTTTATCGCCGCTGCGAACTGAGCAACGCCCAGGTAAGAAAGTTGCCCTAACTTCCTTTCTCTCGGTACCTTTTCTAGGTTATGTACCTCCACTAGACTCGTACCATCGTGAACACTGCTCGCCATAGAGCATATAAGTTGGTATTATACTTGAGGTTAATGACATTTTAAGTCATTTTGGGAATGTTTTCTTAACCATAAATGTGAGAATCTTTCACACTAGTTTGTGTACACACGTTACGTATTAACAATACTATACGTGTAGATGTCAAATTGCACAACGTTGTACGTGATGTGCACGGTAGACCTTGTGTGTGACATACTGGCTGTGTATTGTAGCACTGCGCGCACGCGGAGCTGTAATGGTTTGGGGTGGTGGGGCGTTAGGAACATGATTGAACGTTGGAAGTAAGCCTCTGTACATTTTATATAATGCAAGGTCCATTCCTGTGCAGTTGCTCACACTGCCGTTCCTCGACATATGGTAGTGATGGATAGTTGTCTTTCATACTTGTATGTACACGTGCCATATGTTTTGGCCGCAGCTCATAAGAAATAGCTGTGGGAGCCTGCAAGCCTGACTGTAGGCTCGATCGTTACTAACTGTCAGCTACTGTGGCATGTCCATGACACTGGGGTAATTTAGCAAAGTACAACTAGGCCTACATGTATATTCGATTGTATGTTTGTCTGACCATTTTTATGACTTCATGTGCAATAATTATACAATGATTTAACTATTGTGGCAGTATGCTGTCCATTGTGTACAATATTTCTTCCATTACAGTTATGTAATTATTTTGCAAACAGGGTTTATTTTGATCTGAGAAAGATTCAAGACCTGAGACGAAACAAATGAATCAACAATTAAAATAAATATTGGATTGTCTATCTGGTGTCTGATTCACTCGTTTGGGTTAACTCACTTGTCCTTGATGTCTCATCACCTAATACGAATGGACCTAACACTCCACCACCGGCGGCGGCCTAGAACTCCACGTCCAGGTTACACAATTTACACTGCTGAATGTGAAAGTGGCAATGATAAAGGAAGGCTTTCAAAATGGCAGTCACACTGCCAAAGAGCCAATGCAGATGAGATGAGAAACTAACATAAATATCAAAGGAATAACAATGAACCGTGAGTTATACAAACCAATGTTATCACTGCTAGAAGAGAAGGATTCTCCGTCTCTTTCCAGAATCTTATCAGCGAGGGACAACATCAGATGCTCGGTGGTATTTGCAATTTTGCCAGCTGGGGAGCTTGTCGAGTCATTGCAAGGTTTAGAGCAACTGGTCTCTTTAAAGAAACTGGTGTACTTGTCCCTCAGAAGAGAATTAGCTAATGATATGCCAGTCTGCAATTGAAATTTAATTGATTATACCAATTCAGATTATTTCAAACAGAATTGGACAATGCATTAAAAAATGACCGGTAAAAGTGTTAATTAACATGTAATAAAAACTGCAAAAACCTAGCTCCTTTTCGAATTTGTGTTTTCAAGGGAGCTGTAACCTGTGATGCTTAGGCCTATTGAGATTTTCTGTATGAAAGTGAATGAATATTTTTTTCTAGATTTTGAATCACATAAATAAATATTTTTTCTAGATTTTGAATCACATAAACTCCTCTATCAAGGAATTAAATTAATACCTGGGATTCGAAGGACGATGTTGTAAATGTATGCTAGGAGTGTTGACAGCATATCATACCTGCACAAATGACAGAGAGTCCTCCAAGGTAGCGTTCTGCAGTTCATCAACATTGCCAACAGTGATGTAAATGTCCACTAATGATACGAGATGTGAGGCTTGGTTAACCTGATTTTCGCCATCCAAGATGCTTTGTGCCTGTTCTAGAATCTCCTTACCTTCCTCCAGGCTGATGTTGCCAAGTTCCTGTCGGGGAAGAAAGAGAACGTGCATGACATCTACTACCGTAAAATTCAAAGTGAGTTCCCACAAGCAGAACATTCTCGTAATTGTAGATTTGCGCTCTGCAACAAAGCAGACCTGATACGAGATGCTTGGACCTATATGACCACAATTTGCCTGTGGATATTTACATAATGAGCTGACTCCCGCCTTGTGTGTAAATGTAAAATATTTTGCAGCACGTGGCTTTCCTGTTAACCCTTTCCATTACCGCTTGCCTGTATTAATAGGCCCTATAGCTGTGGACATAGTTTGCTGTAGGGCTATTCTGCAGCTATGCATGCATGGCAGGCGTGCGTCGAGATATTCTATCATCTGTCATTTATTGTACATCGACACTTTCTCAACTTCTCCAAGTTATTGATAGAACCTGTTTTCCATGGAGAAGACCGGCATGCCAAATGTCTCGCTGACAAGGGATAGGAGTCCAAGAAGCTTGGTCAATGCCAAGGTCAGTTAAGTCTCTCTTGAGAACATCTTTGAAGAGTATACCAACAGGTCTGGTACTTCGTTCAACTCGCTGTGAAGCACGGCATGTGGTAGGCGCTCCTTAGGCATTCAGTTGATATAGCCAGCCCATCTCAACCTGAACTATTTTAGCCTAGAAGAAGGGCTCCAGATTTGGTGATGCGGAACAATACCTCATTGGTCAACTTGTCCTCCCATGTATTGGTCAACTTGTCGTCCCATGATATACCTATGACAGAGCGTAGGCGTAGTATGGAATGCGTCAAGACGAGAGTCCAGTGGACGATAGGTCGGCCAGCATTCTGAACCATTATGGAGAACACTAAGCACACAGGCCTAATACGCATGTACTTTAGTATTGAAATTGAGATGTTATTTCTCCATACACGTTTAGTGAGACGACTTATGTCGTTGCCACGTTATCTATCAGAGAACGCTATTTCAGGTTCAAGGCCAGCTTCTGAGCTGACTGCGGAACCCAAATAAGTAAATATGTCAATATTCTCTAATTTAGTACTATCAAAGACACAATGAGAACCGTCACTGGACTGGGACAAACTGATGGTAAAAAATCCTTGCACGTGATTGAGATGCATGTGAGAAGGTCCTGGAGTTGATAACCAGATAAGGCACAGATAGGTGCATCATCGACGTAAAGAGACTAATGGATTACAACCGGCTGTACTCTGATCTTTGCTTTAAAGCAAAGAAGAAGTTGCCATCGTCTCTGATGAAGAATTTTACACCATTGCGCTTGTTGAGGTTTTCATATGCTTGTCGAAAAAGAAAAGAGAAGATTATACCAAAAGGGTTGGTGGGAGAACAAACCCCTGTTTCACCTCTCTCAAATTTGGAAATCTATCAGAGATGTCACCATCAAACTGAACTTTCCGTGCATATCATTATGGTATGCCGCAATCAGGAAGCGGAGTGTTCCTCGACAACCAGCCTTCCTCCGATCAAGAAAGAGAGACTCCCTGTCTATCAGATCGAAAGCTTTAGTCCGGTCAATAAAAGCAATGTGGAGTGGCTGCCGTTGTTCTCAAGATTTCTCCTGGAGTTGTCGGACACAAATAATGAGGTCAGCAGTCGATCTCCCGGACCCAAAGCCACATCGAGGCCCTTGGTATACATTTTCAGCAATGATTTACAATTTACTGAAGGGAATTCTACCCAGAACTTTCCCCATTACACTCAGAAGTTGTTACAATATCCTCTAGGGTTGTAATTTTGGCAGCCTTCAGCTCGTTAGAGATGATTTGACTAGACCAGCATAAGACGATAAGCCTGTGTATATGGGTTGCCAGGATTGTAGTGCCAGCTTCTAACAGTTCAGCAGGGATGTCATTTTCGCCTGTAGCCTCATTTATTCTTCAGGTGTAGAATGTTGTTTACAGCCTCATGGTTCACCATCAAGTTCTATCAGCTGAGGTGCATCATTAATTGAAACTGTGTATAACAGCTTCAGACACAGTACTCTGGTATCCGTACAGCTCAGGATAATTTTCAGTCCAACGATCCAATTTCTCATCTTTGACGGTAATTATGAAACCGTCTTTCTGCAGAAGGTCGAAAGATTGTGTGGTGGGTCCAGTTGTTTTACGTATATAGCTGTATACATCCCTGCAATGTCACCTTTGTTCCGTGTATCCTTAATACTTTTGCAGAGACCCTCCCGGTACTCATTTACACACTTTCTGACAGTACGTTGTGCATAAGCTTTATATGCTTCCTTGGCTTCCGTAGTTGGTCTTTCAATCAATCTGATCACGGCATTTTGCTTCAGCTCCAGCACAGGCTGCACTGTGGGAAGCGTTGCAATGTGTCAGTCAGGGTTATGCTGCTGTTTCTTTCCAATCATTTTATGCAAATGACTATGAATACATGTCTTTAAGACTTTCCAATAGGTTTCAGAATCCCTAGTACCTATTAGTAATTTCTCAAGCTCAGCAGAGAGCTTCTCATAGTAAGCCTGTTTCAGGTCTGGTTGGGAAGATTGAGATGTATCGATTTTTGCAGATGTCAGAGTGAGCACTGCGGTATGTTCTTGTATGTACGATGTACATGCTTCACAATAACAAAATCCAATCGATGCCAATGACGTGAACGAGGATGACACCAGAAGACTGTCTGAGAGACGGAACCGGGAAACATTGTGTTGGTTATCAGGTTATTCCTGCAGCTCAGTTCTAGAAGGGCATGACCATCGTCATTCAAACATCCGACACCAAACTTGCCGATGCTGTTAGGCCAATCCTCATAGATCCTACCAATCCTTGCATTCACGTCTCCAAGCATCACAAGTCTCTCTTTATCAGGTGAGTGTCTGAGTATTCCCTCCAATGGTTGTGGAAGTTATCTTAGGTTTCCGTGTCTGGCTTTATATGTAAGAGCATATGCAAATGAAATGACAAGAAAATTTTCCTGTCTTTATCCGACAGAATGAGACCCTGTTGGATACTGCTTCTGGAGTCTGAATGCTACAGAGCAGGTTGTTTCTCACTGCAAAGCAGCTCCACACATTTGAGGTTCTCCTGCTGGCCCTCCGAACCAGAAAAATGTGAAATCCTCCTCCTTAATGGTACTCAAGTCAGACAAACGAGTCTCTTGAAGGGCAGCAATATGAACATTTTGCTTCAAGAGTTCACGGAAAATAACAACAGTTTTTCCTGCCTGCAGTTTTTCGCTACCCAAATCATTGTTGATAGACATTCCAGTGGTCACTGTCCGAACGATGCATGTGGCAAATTTAAGTATAGGCTTCTTGGGTGAAAAGTTAAACGCTATTCCCAGCACACCTATGCTGGTAGCGTGAGGTGAACTATAGAACCTTACTGATCAGGGGCTCCCTGATTTAAGCGGGCGGTAGCTATAAATAAAACTAAAAAGCCTCTCCCACTGTTGGTCATGGTCCCTCGCGCCAGGCTATATCACCATAAATTTTGCTTAAAACCGGTAACCACCATAACCCTGGTTTGTTTCCACCAGGAATGCTCACTGGTGTCACAGTTGCCTGTGCGTGGATGATTAGTGTGAGGAAGATGGAAAATGGAAAATTTCAGGCAGGACAAATTAGGCATCCCTGGGTGGTCCTCTTGCGATTTAATGGCCTCTCTCGTCTAAGCTCTCTCAAAACCAGAGGAAAGACGCCAGTACATCTGACAGTAGGACCAGATACAGGGGCTACCACGGGAAATATCCATGAAAATCTCACATGCGTTAAATGGGACCCCAGCTCCAAGTTGGTGGTTGGCCGTTGACTTCGTAAAGCTCTTCCGCCCTTAACTTTAAACCCAAGGTGAACCACCCACCCTGGTACCCTAACAGGTGCTACCACTTTGGGCCAGAGTGGACCTGGGAGAAAAAAACATCTAAGGGGTGACTCTACATTCACCACCATCCCAGTCATCCCTGACCGAGAACTTGCCACCGGATGCAGTTTAACGTCTCGGCCAGGACGCACGGGCAGGATAAAAAGATAGGCTTCAAAGATTTTCAGGTATCATTTGTCAAATGATTATAACAGAATTACTTTAATCATGATTATATTGGGTATGTGATCAACACATAGCTGTGTTTTGTCAGATAAGACGATCATCAGGAAATACAGCTGTCGCTATTTAACGCATGAATTGGTATGCAACCACAAAAAAGTTGGAACCCTTTTTATATTTCATAGCTAGCTATAGTTTGAATACATCGTCACTTCCCCACAGCCGCTGTTTCAGCTTAGATCCTTTTACTAGCAGGGAGCGCTTTTTCTTGGCTTAATATTATTATCTAACTAGAATTACCTTATTTAACAGATCCTCCAGCGAGACCGAAATTGGAGTTGTTCCAGTAGCAACATTGCTGCTGTTACAAGTGTAGTTTGTTGATCCTCTTGAAAACTGCGTGGTAGGTGCGTCAGTTGTAGCTTCTGTTGCGAATAGTTTAGTTGTAAAGTTTGCTGTGGATAATTTAGTTGAGTGTGTATGTGTTTTTAAAGTTTCTTCTCTTACTGAAGGACTTGCTAGTATAATCTCTGTCACTAAATCGTTTCTGCTGTGTTGACTTGTAAATACTCTTTCTGCAGTAGACGTATCGTGATTTTGTGTCAGAGTAGTGGCTTCTGACGAGGATACTTTTGTTGTCATTTCTGTTACAGTTTGTGTAGTTGCAACGTCACCATTAGATTTTATTTTTGGTTCATCAGTTGTAATTTGTGTTGAAGGTATTAGAGTTGTAGTTGGAGCTGTGGGTAGTCGAGTTGTTCGCGTTGTGGGTGTCTCAGCTGTGGGCTGTGGCGGGGATATTTCAACTGTGTTTTTCCTTGTCAGTACTTTAGTTATAATTTGTGCTGTTGGTTGCAGAAATGTGGTTTTTGTAGTTGCGTCAATTGTCGCGAGTTTTCTGGTTAATTTAATTTCAGTTTGCGTTGCGGACACTTCATTTGTAATTTGTGACGTGGGTACTTCAGCTGTAGGTTTCCTTGTGGGTACTTCAGTTGTAGCTTGTGTCACAGTTGTGTGCGTTTTTGTAAGGAACGTGTCTGAAGTAAAAGACGTTGCATTGGTTGTTGATATTTCCACTGTGGTATCTTCCACCGTGGGCTTCTCATTCGTGGCCACTGTTGTCTTCCTGGCTTCTGTTGTGGATACTTTATTCGTGCTGATCTGTGTTGTGAATTCTTGAGAAGTTGCATCATGGGTGATACTGTCTTGTGTTGGAAATGTTGCACTATTTGTGTAAGTTGCTTCAGTAATTAATGGTGCATTATTTGTTGCTGGCTCTTGCATCATGGAAGCACTGGATGTGTACGCTACTGTAGTCGGGGTTTCACCTAAGCAGTTCCACGACAAAGCAAATATGGCTCAAAGCAGAATTTTGTTCATATCAGTTGGATAAAAATGTGGTGACTTGAATGTTGAGATGAGATATCACAGCAATGGTGTAAAAAAATCATGACTGCCTCAATTATGGCATTGATTTTGTTTGTTACTTTCAATGGCTCATTAAACCCTTTTCAAACTCTTTTCAAATCATGGGACTGAACTGTCAGAAAGCGATGGATTTTGCCTAATGGGGAAATGTGCTAATTAAGTACTTTCTTTCCTGCATTTATTGAGTCATAAACGAATGCACAGTTATGCACGTATCAAATAGTTGTATTTAAAAGAAATTCTATTGCTCATAAGAAGAATAAAAGGCCTCGGGTATCTTTTAAACTAAGAGCACCAGTCACCAAGCTGTAAAAGAATGTCACTGCGGGATGAACCAGCTTCACATCATAGATTTTCTTTAATTGTAAACCGTATATTAAATTATTCATCTAAAAGAGGTTTTCCAGAAAAATATAGCCTTTTCGTATATGTTGGAGTTCAACCTTATCAGGCGCCCCTCATTTGTTTATAAATACCGGGCGCCTTCTTGTTTCATTCAAATCAATTGATATCGGCGAAATATGGGGATATAAATTAATCGTACCTTCAGGTTGGTCAGATCCATGAAATATTAGTAGTTGTTCATCCGATGAGAGGGTCCGATGCCAGACTGCAAACTCTTTAATGATTATATTTGACGGATATTTGTACTCAGCTGCGCATCTGAAACCAAAGATTATGATTTAGTGAGATCGATAAATATAACGTTAGCCATTAGCTTGGTGACTAAAATATATACTTTAAAGTAGCGCTCATTGGTATCATTTGGCAAATGTCTATTATGTGCAGATGAACAACACTAGGAGAGAATAATCGATCCGCGAATATCTTAATTGTGAAGCAACCTTTCATGAATGATTGAATTGCTAAGACCCATTACTCGACTTCATAACTGGTGCCACCTGCTTGAGAATAACCAGAACTGCAGAGCTGCCGTGACTCAAATGTAAACGTTTCAAGCAGACCTATGAAACTTTAGAACTGTTCTGTCTTTTGCTTAGTGTATACCTTTACCATTAACGATTTTGTCTTATGCTAAAGACTTGTTAACCTACTTTTGTGATCAATTGGTACAGGTGGGGCTAAGATCAATTGAACCTGTCACAATTCAGGTTCATCGTTAACCTTTCAGAGATTTTAACGACGTGCATAATCCATCAAATAACATTTCAATACGGGCATTTAACCACATTCAAACTATATAACATGTACAAGCTTACATGTACAGGGTGTCCCAGAAAAAAAAACAAACCCTGAGGAAAGGGGTTAATATGCCCAAACCATAAGATATGATTATAATATATAAGGATCTCCGAAAAGTACAAGCACTATTCTTTGGATAAACCAGTAAATGAGGTTTTCCTCTGTCTCGCTTGTCCTGGATAAGATATCAGGCACAACGATTATTTACACATTACGTAATTTACCGTTGGTTATGCACCGACACCTTCCGTGTGTCCGCCTTCCCTTTCAATGCAAAGTTCACAACGGCGGCGTATGTCAGCCACAGCTCGTCTCACAAATGCAGGGGCATATCGTAAGATGTCGACTCCTGCTCAATGTGACCTCGTAAGTCTTGTATGTTGCGTGGTGGACGGACTGGTGAAAACTTTGTCCTTCAGATACCCCAATTAAAAATAATCACACGGGGTGAGATCCGGAGAACGGGGCGGCCATTCAATTGGATGGTTAAGAGCAATTCCTTGATCTTGGAACAGTTCCCGCAGGAGATTCCTCACAGCGATGAGCCTGTGTGCAGGTGCCTGTCTTGGGCCCACCACAGATGTCGGGAAACACCATTTTCATGCCGTTGAAAATGCATCTGAAGTTGGGGTACCACGTCTTCGTTGATCATGTGCAAGTACCGTTGACCATTCGTATTCCGTTCGAAAAAGAATGGTCCGCTAATGACACCATTCCCACACAATCCTACCCAAACACGACTTCTCACGACTCATGTTGGTTTCAAAGGTAAAATTTGGCGGGTGCCGTTTCGGTGCGTATTCGACTTTGTTGTGGGTGTTAACTTCTCCGTTCATCCCAAATGCTGCCTCATCACCGATTGTCAACCATTCAAGAAACCTTCCATTGGCCTGACAGCGTTCCAGGAGCCATTGAGCAAACTCCCGTCTCCTCCTGAGGTCTCCACGGTAAAGTTGGTGGCGGATGTGGATAAGGGTCATTCCTGAATGACCCTTATTCAAATTAAAGCTTGTCCCATGTTCTCGGTATTTGCGCACATTTCCCCAGATGGTCGACTTTGCCGGTGGATCCCTATCAGGGAAGGCTTCCCTAAATGCAGCTTGGGTGGCTTGAAAGCTCTTGTTTTCAAGAAATTTCGTCAAGACAAACACTCTTTGCTCTTTGCCCCATGTTGCAGACTTGCTGTCCTTGCTGTCTTGCTTCGAACCAGGTTATTGCATAACTTTAAAGTGACAAAAGGCAATCTTCCCTCATTAACATGACCTTTTGTTGTCACTTTCAACCAGAACAAGCATGGTTTATCCAAAGTGTTTCAACTGAGTTCGGATGCCCCATTTTCAAGACAATTGTGTTCAGTCATGCATGGCAGGAGGGATACCATCGAGGTATCATTAGAAAAAATACTGCTTCTACTTTTGGGGGATCCTTATACATTATACATGTAATCATATCTCATGGATTGGACATACTAACCTCTTTCCTCAGGATTTGGTTTTTTCTGGGACACCCTGTAGATTATGTGCAAAAACACATCCGAAGTGCAACCCCCTAGTTAAACACACCCCATCTCCACCGAACCCTGTGCTTGTAAATCCCCACCCACACCTTCTAAATCCCCACCCCACCCGACAAGTCATGAAAATTACTTCTCCCAAATCCCATCTCACCCAACCAAGAGCCCACTATGCATGCCACACATCAATAACCCACAACAACCCCCACACCACTAATTCCTAGGCTACCTTGCCCCTCCAAACCACAACAAAGGCAACTGCGCCTAATATCCAGTCTATATTATCTTCACCCCATTTCATCCCCATCTCACCCCACTAAATCTACGCCTAACCCCTCAAAACAACTTCAACTCCACAGTATCTTTCTTTATCCCAACTCCATCCCATCCAAATCCTATCCTAGCCCACCAAATATCCCCTCTAATACAACCTACCCTGTACCATCCTACCTAATTCCTGTACCCATTGGCACGGCACTACCAACTTCTCAACCCACCCTCATATCTTATCGTCATTCGACTTGACTAGATCCAAACCCTATCCAGCCCCACCCAATCCAACCTAACTATTCATCCTGCTCCACTACAAAACAAATCCCTATCCGTCCCTCCATATCCCTATCTCATCCCACCAAATCTCTACCCCACCCAGCTATACCTAATCCTATCTAACCCAATGCCAACCCTGCGCCACCAAATTGCCACATTGGGTGGTCTAGGAGGGGTCGCTGATTCATACCGGAACCAAGCACCAATGAAGGAGCACAACCAGTATACTGCAAAATGTATACCCTTGGCTTGATACATCCATTTAAAAACATGCATGTTTCAAAGGAATGTTCACAGCGAGTTTGTGACTTATTGTTTATTATGTATTACACGTACATGTATATTACAAAACTGGTAATGCTCAGAAAAAAAGCTTAAGGCTTTCTAAGAAAGAAATACATAAATTAAATGGAAATGATTATAGAGGTAATTTATCTCAATCCTTCACCTCTCATTTACTCACCCAAGATAAAGCTGCGATTCTCCAAACCATGAAGACCATGGTTTTGAATAAAACATACTTGATGTAAAAACACTTCCATTTACATAAACATTCACCTCAAGCCCTGCAACGAAGAGAGATACAAACTTCCATTGGAAAAAAAGAAGAGAGGAATGTGTGGTTGGGGGGTTAAGGAGGGAAGCTCTCACTTCAACGTAAAGAATTACCTTACTGACTTTGCGAGAGAGCTTCAACCAACATAATATAGAAGGGAAACAATGGATACATCTGACACAGCCCCCCAAAGCGTGGCGTATTAACTTTTATATCCTCTGCTCTCGTAAATGTCATCCTGCTTTCACATCCTTTGTGTATTTTCATTATTATCACAGTAATGATTTAATCAGGCTCTTTATTTGCATTCCACTGCAGTTATCTCCTCAAGTTCATTTTCATTTATCGGACTCAATGATTCACAATACACTGTATAAACACTTGTGCACGCCAAGCCATGGCTACGTGCATCGTTTGGTATTCACAAGGGTTTATTCACTACGAACACAGGGCAAGGGTTCCCCTCGTTAGGCTCTGCTTTCTCAGAATGACGCAAAGTAAATTCAGAATTCGCATCTTGGCATGGACAGAAAAAAAACCTTTTAAGCTTGTTATAGTTGAGCTCTGAAGACAAATGACACTGCATTCGATTTGGATGCTTCCATATTTATTTGAACGGATAAAATCAGAGAAAATGTGTTTTCCTTTAGGTGCTCTTTAAATGACTGGCAGCATTAAGCTTGCGGCATTCATTTTGTACTGGTGATCATAAATAAAACTGAAATGAATCTTCAGTATTAAAGTAGATTCACTTGCTGCTCTCTTTAAATACAACGAAGAGCTTATTTTGCCGTGAGAGAACTGTGTGTTTGATATGGAACCTGATTCCAACACGGTGCGAAATACAGTGAAATGAAAGACGTGATATAAACATGCGGTTGTCATAAAATCAGTGGTTTTAAAGAAAAACATTTAAAAGTAAAAACCGTGTGCATTGATTCAGTGGCAAGAATCTTTGTCCAACCTTCCACATCACTAGATTTCCAGTTGATGTTGACAAGAAGTTCCTCATTTATGGGTGCATCAAGTTCCACATGTGTATACCATTGACGACTTCCGTTCGTAATGTTACACCTGCAAAGAAGTTAGAAAGGGTTTCCGTGAAGCCAAATGCTCAAATTCAGTGCGAAAATAGAAAAACCAATGGGGTTATTGGCTTCTCTGAGTGATACAATGCATGCAGTTCACGCCTCAGAAACAGTAAACACAACCTGACACAAATTTGCTAATAGAATATACTGCCAAATCCACCCCGAATCACTGCCAGCGAAACTTTCCTATATACTATTATTTCGAAGCTGTGGGGACATACATTCATGATTACAATAATTTTGCGACGACCAAAAGTGTTTGGAGGATTTCAAATATCCTTGCTGTTTGGTCCTTATTTACTTAACTCGTAACGTGGTAAGGGCTAGCTACACGCACACGCTCACACTCACCCCACCCATGCAAAGAGGACTAAGGATGTTTGTTGCACTAGCCTCCTGTTCACTTCAAGCTCTATACCAGTGCCCAAAGTATTGCAATATATAGGTTGGCTATACTTTAGAAGATTGTGGTATTTGACCGTACAAAATATTTGGCTAGTGTATATTCTTGAAAGTCAAAATTTTGGCCAAAATAATAGGCCCCTTACCATCATACAACAAACCCTGTAATTCGTTTACATTCATTTGTCTTCGTGCATGATCGACTCACATGAGTTGTTCTTGCATTATGCTGACACCGATTCCTCCTGCAAAAGAAAGGCAAAACAAACCTAAACGAGGCACCAAAAATGCCTTCAAAGTGACCAAAAACAGACCTCTAAAATCACGTGAAACTGGACACAGGGGAGCACTAAAATACTGCATTGAAGATTACATTGCATTGAGGGCCATTTGAAGACTTAGAGAACGTAAGTTATGGAAAAAGATCGAAATGTTTGTTTGAATTAGAATTTTGATAATGCAAATGAGAAGGAGCTTTTACTGTCAGAGGATCTATGGGCTTGGGAGAAGGTAATAAGCAAAATCATTGATATACATTTTTTAAAATGCAGGTTTCAATCCTAAAAGAGGAATAAAATCCATGAATACGATCAGCAGAATAGAAACAAATTTGGGTGGCCTTACGAGACTGGAAAACGTGTGATGGAGACAGGTTGGATGGGAGAATTGTCAACCAGAAAGAAATGGCCATACCACTGTCCTGGCACACAGCAGGGTTGGACAAGCACACGTCCCCTGCATAGAATTAAGAAGCAAAATTGACCATCAAAACAATGCCTTGACCTGTCACTCCAGCCAAGCGTATAGACCACACTTATTTGTCTATTATTCTTAAATGGGCGGTCAAAGGTTCGAAGAAATATCTCTTTTGCAGCAGGCTTGGTCATTACTCTTAACCTTTGATGAATTCTGCACCTTAAAATGCTCCTTCGACCAACAGGGTATTATAAATGTAAACGTATATTTTGAACAATTAGTCTTTTAACATAGGATCCTGGATGTTGTAGAAGAGGGTTCAGTCATATATGGCTCATTATGCACGGTGTCTACATAAAAAGTATACCGAGACAAACAAATTACTGTAATGGCAAAACGACTTAATGTATGGGAAAGAGAAATATACCCCTAGAAAGGGCAGAATGTCCTCTTTGCAATGTATAGAGCTAGTGATGTTATTTACGCAGATGAGTGCTCAAACTAGACTGATGTTAAGGTTACTGAAATCGGTACTGTGACAAGTTTGCATATTGATTAACAAGGCTCAACCATGCAAGTGTGCAGAATACCAAATGCCTTTGCTTTAAGAACACATTCTTGAAAACAAGGAATGTACCTAAATCAACGTAATCTGCTATGTTTTCGATACTTACCTCATAAGTTTAATGTGCTGTGCCCTCCACATGGCTACCATTCCTGTCAATACACATCTGACAGTTTTGTGTAATTTTTATCTCGGTATTATGGAAGGTTAAATGAGCCACATTTCTTTCAAACATAAATTTAATGTCTATTAGGATAAACAAACAAGTAAGTCAAAGAAAGAAACTCGATAGGTAGACGCCTTAGACATCCCGATATCAACCTCCGTTTTGTTGGTCTTATCATGACATACCACTTAAGTTCAAGAACACAAATCCAGTTCCGTTGATCAAAAAACCACCACTGTTGCCGGTTCGTACAAGTGTGACTTCACTAGGAATTTTTCCCATCAACTGGAACGAAACAACATCAAAGGTCTGCACATTCGAGAAAATTGAAAAACAGAAAGTGGCAGAAGAAAAGAATTGACGATTAAGTCTGGCACAAATCACCTCTGGTTCTTTGGTACACAAAGCAGGTTCAATTTATGTTATTGCTGAGAAGAAATTTTGCTCGCCGTTAGCAAGTATTTCAGTGCAGTCTGTTGATCTCATTGGGAACTATGGTTCCACCAGATGACCGCACATTGCAGTTCAGAACATTCAAAAGAGTACCACATAATTTAGTTTCTTCGTCAGATATTGCTAGAAGTATATCATAGGTACTTTTTTTTCTGAAAGGCTGAATGCTATAAAAAATCAAAACGAACCAGTTTCAGTCCATTTACACCCAACAAGCTCTAACACGGCCTTTATATTTGCGTCCAAACGTCATTTTGTCTTTGTAAAACCTTGATTTAGCAAATGTACCTGTTTTTTTCCTTCTGCATTCGCAAAACTCAACACGTTCATCGGAAAGTAAAGCTGGGAGTCACGGTAAACATTCAAAACTGTAACATAATGAAAGAAGTCTAATAACTGGAGACAATTCCTTTTGTACCACCATAATTCTCAAGCGTCATGAGCGCCAATAAATTCCAACAGGATTTAACTTGGTGTTTGTGGCACTTAAAATATGATGATCCAATATAGAATTATTTTTGAGAAATTAAATTAAGCTGTGTACATTTCAAAAAATCTCTCTGATTCGGTCCGAGCTGTCCATTAAATAAACAGATGTGTTACTTTAAATAAGTTTACATAAATGTATACTTAATTTAAAGTAAATGTACTTTGTGAGTATTCAAGTTTTCAGCGAGAATTTCTGCATTAACTACACGGAAATAAATAAGCTCAGCAAATAATATCCCATCCTCATGTATAACTTGCAGTGCAGTCTGTGGTAATAAAGTGAACTGTGCCCTTTTGGCACACTGACTTCATTTTGTACGCTTCTTTCAATACGACAAAAATTCACAGGGGTATCAATTTCCTTTTTTAAAACAATTAAGTGTTCTGCCGAATGACAAAAGCTGGTATGGAAATTTCTCCGATTTTATAAACAAATTCGTTGAAGACATGGATTACAGGTTAAAGGCCCCAACTGAAGTTATTTTAATGTTACCTCTCTTAGAGCTGCAGACAGCAGCATCCGCATCCATGTAAGTATGATTGGCAGTAAAGAAGGTCCACCTTCTGTTTTTGCGATGGAGGAGTACAGGCACAGGATACAGAGGGTCTGATTCTAGTCCTGTCACGTTAATACCTGACCTGTTGAATCCATAATTCGTTAGATATTCAACAAACGTTGTTTCACGAAATGCATTTACATTACTCGCATTCCAGTAAATACATGTAACTGACGATTTTGATGGATCTTGGACTAAACTCTGGCCAGTGGGATTATTCTACATCGAGGTCAAGATCAGAGATCACGTCCTCAAATTACACTGCAACGTAGGGAGATGTAGACTGGGTTATTAATTGATTGAAGCACATAATGACATGCCTAAACAGACATCCACGAGTGATGGAATTGTCTTTTTGTCAGTATGTGGCAATTTATTCACAGCTAACATGGCCCTAGACCTAGCTTCAGACACACGTTTCTGAAACAACCCAAGGTTTGTTTATAAGGGGTTGAACATGTAAAAGTTTAATGCAGTTACTGCTTTGTAGCCCAAATATTCTCAAGCTATTTCCCATCGGCATTCCCTTTGAGTATTTCAGACGTATTCCAATCATTTTTTTTTCTGTTGCAGTTGCTTTCAGAAAAAAAGTTGGTCAAAATTTGTATGCTTCTGAAACTAAACTAACAGCGTGAAATTAAGCTGCAACAACCTAACTAGATGAAAAAAAATCGAAAAGAATGCATAAGTATAATGGTGGTAATGGAAAGTGCTACTTACAAGGCGCTCAAGTCAAACTCTTTCTGGTTCACCCATAAAAAGCCCCCAGAGCCAAGCTGCAGGCCCGTCCATACTTTGATGTCATGAGGCAGTTGACTGAGAATATCGTAAGCTCCCGTCTCATTGTGGCTAAAAAATCTTCTGAAGTTCAAAAGACCATAAATTAAAAAAATGAATATCACGCTCTGGTTGCTTCAGCTGACGCATTGTAGGACTACCAACGCCCATTTTGTGTCTCGTTATCAACGATCAAATGTGTCATCGTGTCTAAATTTATTAACACATCATCACGTATTTGTTAATTAAGAAAATAAAATGGTCATACATGAAGGGTAAAGGTCACAAGAGCAAAATCAGCACCTCAACTTTGCGCGTTGTGTACGTACAATGTACAGTACATTTACATTGTACACGTACATGTACATATGACTTGTGAGTGCGTAAAACGTCTGGGTCGAAACTCTCGCATGAATCATACATGATTTCATGTAAACTGGACTCAATAAGGTTTTATTCGCGCCGATAGGAAATAATGTGGTACGTTAAAAAAATCGCGCCCAGCCATGAGATGGTCCGGAAAAAACGGCTCTCTAATGATAGGGTAG